CTCCATAAGACCTCCCTAGGAACCCTGTCGTACGCTTTCTCTAGATCGATAAACACCATGTGGAGATCCTTCTTCTTATCCCTGTATAGTTCCACCATCCTCCTAATAAGGTGGATAGCTTCTGTGGTAGATCGCCCCGGCATGAACCCGAACTGGTTTTCTGAAATAGACACCGTCCTTCGCACTCTCATTTCTACCACTCTCTCCCAGACTTTCATGGTATGACTCAGTAATTTGATACCCCTATAGTTGTTACAGCTCTGGATATGGCCTTTGTTCTTATACAACGGAACCAAAATATGTTAAACATAATTGTTAAAATAAAAAAACCAACTTAATTATAAAGTTTCGTCATAATCAAAGGCCAAAATTGAAGTAAACATTCTAGAATCACATAGTGATACTGATAACTTTGTTACATCAGTTTAAGAATGCAGCAATGTTAATATTCATTGCGATGTAATATTTTTACTTTAATTAAGCCTTAGTGATTCGGGTTCCTGAAATAATATCTCAAAATTAAGATATATATTATTAATAAGGTCCACTCTCACTAAGAGGAATGGAAAAGAGCCAACTGGTCGAGCTCCTTATGGTAGTTTTTAGCAAGTAGTTCTGACTTCTGATGAAAGATTGACGAATTTAAGCTACAATTCCCTTGATATTTGGGTATTTTAAACTCCTTCCCCAATTTAAATTCATGTTTTAATGAAGCGTATCAAAGAAACGATTCAATTTCGAATGGGAGTCATTTTCCTTAAGAAGCACGTCAAAGAAACAATTCAATTAGTGACATCTATAAAATTTGTTAAATAGATATCTAACTTTAATTAGCGACGAGATAGACGCTTTTATTTGGTGTCAGTTGAACATACGTGTGAAAGACATTCGCTAATGATGTGTCAAAAACAAGATCAATTAGTAAATCCTGCAATTATTTTTTTTTAAAAGAAATACAACAAATCACCCCGCCAATCTTCTTCTCCGAGAACTCCCCATCTTCCAAAATACTTTTCTTCTTCATCTCCTACAATCGCCACAACGCTACCATTGCCACCAATGCATCATCCTTGATCATCCAATATTTTTTTTTAAGAAAAATTTAAATAAATAGAAGAGGAAATGAAAAAAACAATATAAATTTTCAATGTGGAGCTTATTATCTATCCGTTTAATTTGAAAAAAAAAATTGTGTATAAATTTTATTGAGTTTTATTTTTTGATCTGTAGATAAATTTTGAAGAAATTATGGGTTTTGAATTCCTCAATGAATAATGGTGATGGCAGGAGGGTAGAAAAGAAAAAGAGAAAAGTCTAATTTGAGTAATCACGCACTTACATGTAGTTAAAACATGTTTTGCTACGTCAACATGAGGTTTCGCTAGACACTCCTCTGTCAATATTAGAGGTGTAATGACTCAACTGGCCGTTTTGAGTTGTTCCCTAACTTGAAACTTTTCGTAGGTTTATATTATATTCTAAGACTTGCGGGTATGGGTAATTTGGATCCTGAAAGGTTCAGGGAAGATTTGGAACCATGTCATTCTATCGGAGGCGAATTTAGAATTTTTAGAATATCGGTGCAACACTAAAGAAAGAAAGTATTAAATGAGAATTGATCACTATTGCGTCGGGTAAATAACTCAACATTCAACCAAGTGCATCATTCAATCCAAGAGCATGGGGACTGGCAGATAACATTAGATCAATTTTAATAAATATATACAAAAAATACCTATTTTGATAAAAAGATCATGAGTTCGCGTACACCATAAATAGTTGGCTCTGACCACATAATATTATATATATGCTTAAGACTATAAATTTTAAAAAATTATAACTGTACAATTATTGTGGCTTATTTAACAACACTAGTTTTAAAAGTTTAGTTTTTCTTAAAATTTGTGCCCAGTCGAACTACATCATATAAATTAAAATGGACGGTTAGTAATGATTTTGGCTTAATTCCAAACAAGTTGGAATCTGTTGAGGTTTTTAAGCTAAAATAAGCTTAAAAGAGGGTGAATGGGAAATGGAGGGAAAATAAAAATTTTTAGTGAAAGTTTAAGCTTCCCCCCTTAACAATGGGACATTGTCTCATACTGAAAGGGGAAAAGGTTTTTGATGGGCATATATATAATTGCTCTTCTTTTAGCTCTTAAAGAATTAAGAAGAAGGCTTGCCTCGCGCCGTCATCGCCGTCGCTCACTCAGCTTCGGCTTCGGATTTGGTCAAATGATTGATTAATTTTTTGGACCAAATTTATTTGTTAATTATAAATATTAACATAATCCGTGTCTGTAACGGAAGATTAATAATCCAAATTATGCGTTTCATTGACTTTCCGTTTTTTGTAACGGAAAACGTTTCCTCTGCCCGTTTTAATTTGCGTAAATGGCCATGGCCGTTTTACGTAACTGACCTCTGAAGAGTTACAACTCTTCATTTGAACTCAACAGGTTAGGGCTATGAATTGCAGTCCATTCTCTCAGATTTTCCATACGAATTTCTGACTTCTCCTCCTTTCTTCTGCATTGTTTTAACTACAAAGAAAGCAACATTAAGTGTGATTTGCTACCGATCTTCGTGTTCGCTCAAACATTGGGGTTTGAAGTACCGCTACACCAGTGTGTAATTCGTTCTATCCTGTGAGGAAATAATCCACAACCTTGAGTACTAGGAGGGATTAAATTCCTTAAGGAAACACTGTGAATTCAGTGGGCTCGGATTAAAATTCTGTTATTTTATATTCTCAAGAATTATTTTAGTAATACAGTATACTAACAGAATCAACTAAGTCCATGAAAACTCCTAATTTTAGTTACACTTTTAGATTTAGGCCATTGTTATATTGCTTCAATTTTTCTTTCATCTCAACATACTCATTGCAGCTACTTTCATCTGCTGGACATGGGAGTTCTTGACTGGCCAACACTCTGCCCCATACAACATAGTCGGTCTAGCCACTACATTGTAGAACTTACCCTTTAGTCTCAACGGCACATATAGCGTCATGTATCTTCAAACTAGTTAGAGATATAATCTGCTTTGTTTCTTCGGAAAAGGTCCAAATATGACCTTGTACTATACGAAATTGAGCACATTTTCCCTTCGTTAATACTTTAGCTCATGTATGCCCTTACCGTCACATAGTTGGTTCATATATGCCTTTTTGAAACGGAATCCATCCAAACTAATTAGCTCTTTCGTTAATTGTACTAAAGTGTATTACAAATATTATTTCCTTTTTATTAGTACCTTTTTTCTTTACCTTTCTCTCGTCTCTCTTTTTTTTTTCTTTTTCTTTCTCCCACATTCGAGTTCCTCCATTCCTGATGTCTTCTCTATTTTTGTCACCAATTTCACTTGACAAAACTCATGAATTCCAGCTAATTTTAATATCACAAACCCCACAAGTTCTTCTGACATGAAGCTTTTGGTAGTGTAGGTTTGATTTTTAGGAATAAAATCACATGAAATTGGTGACGAAAATAGAGAATGCAACAGTAATGGAGGAAATCGAATATGGGAGAAAGAAAAAGGAAAAAAAAGAGAAGAAAAGAAAAAAGAAGAAAGAAAAGAGAAAGGTGAAGGAAAAAAGTACAAATAAAAAGGAAATAGTGTTTGTAATATACTTTAATACAATTAAAGAAAGAGCTAATTAGTTTGGGTAGATTCCGTTTCGAAAAGAGCATATATGGATCAACTATGTGATTTCAAGGGCATATATGGACCAACTATGTGACCTTAAGGGCATAAAGCCATAAATGGGCTAAAGTATTAACGAAGGATATATGTATTCAATTTCATATAGTACAAGGGCATATTTGGACATTTTCCGTTGTTTCATTAATGATATGATATATGCAGCTGCCATGACACTTTGGTTCTTCCTTTATGCTTCTTGAGATTAAGCAAATAGATGTTGCTCTCTAAGAACTTCAAAACCTTATTTTAGGTATTATACATGCTCTTCTAAAGTATTAGAAAAGTTAAAGTAATCATCAAAATATAGTAATATACTCAATAAATTTTCATGAAATCCTTTAGAATATGATTCATTAATCTAATAAAAATGCTAGGCAGTATTTTAAAATATATTTTTGGGGGCGAGCCCCAGGGCAGGGCATAGTAAAAGTGCACAGGGCTATCTTGGCACAAAAAATATCGCGAGATGTAAGCCCTATTTTCAGGGCATGACCTTAGGCATTGGGCAAGTTTTTGTTTTGGGACGAAGCCTAGAATGTCTCTCCAAATTAAAATTAAAATTGCTAAATATTTATTTAATTTAAAACCAAAAATTTATTAATATTACATTATTATTAAATTCTAAAAAGTTTAGAAACTTAAAAGTCAAAATATTATTTATTCTTGCCCTTAAGTTTTAGTTATCCTGTTCGCCTTTTGCCGGGTAAAAAAAAAATGATTAAATTTGTAAATTATAAAGCAGAAACACATCATCCTTAATCAGTTGCTCTGCTTCATTGCTTTTGATTGTGGATTCCTTCTTCACTTTTCTTTCTTTCAAGTTCTTTTGCTATTTCAAGTTAGTTTAAAAATTTCGACTCAAATCTCATTAGTTTTTTTTAGATGAAGCAGTTCTGATAAGTTTTTAGTCAATTGTTGATTCTGATTAGCATTTTAAGCTGAAACTGTTCTATATACATTTAAATTATTTTATATTTTATTTAAGGTTTTATAATTTTTATATAAGTTATCGTCTTTTAATATTTGTTGCTTTTATATTAATTTATAAAATATTAAAAATTAAAAATTTAAAGATCCATAGGGTTTACGCCCAGCGCTTGGAGATTCGCGCTTCTCTCTGTATCAGGTAAAATATACTATTCCACGCCCGCATCTTTTAAAACACTGATGCTAGATGCATTAGTCACGCCAAAAAGTATAACCAACCACTCATAACATCCAATTTATAAATTCTTACTATCCATGACCTTCATTTAAAATAATTATTTTTCTAACATTAAAAGTACTCTACAATTTTTGCTAGCTTATAAATCTATGACAAGAGCGAAAAAAATTCCAACCGAACACTAAATCTAAAATAGACGTAATATATGACTAAAATTTAATCCCAACAGAATAATTAATATTGTATATATACATATTTTTCTTCTCTTGTATCCTATAGTATTGTACTTAAAATATAGTTTAGCAACCTTTTCATCTATTATTGTTAAGCGCATTATTGTTAACTGCCCACGCAAAAAATTTTCCGAGATATAATAGTGCGAATGTAACAACAAGCGTAAATTATTGTATCATTTTTTGGAAGGGGAGTTTTACATGGACCCCTACCATGTGTATTAGCAAAAAGAACCAAATAAGTTACAATGGAGGGGGACCTGAAGCCAATACCTCCAAGGAAATGTACTGGAAAACTAGCCAATAAAAACTATACACGTACATAATAAGAACCAAGGCTATTCCAAGGTAGCAAACCAGAAAATGAACGAAGTACTGCTAGCAAACTACGGAAGTACCTATGGCAAGTAATAACAGAACAAGAAACACGATAATAGCAAACTAAGGATAAAAGGGTACGTACCAACACTACTACTATCGAACTAGGGAAGACAAAGAAAAACGCACGACTACCTACTAACCTTCTACCCTAATCTTTAGCCTCCACACCCTTCTATTTAGGGTCATGTCCTCGGTTAGCTCAAGCTGCGCCATGTCCCCCCGATCACCTCTCCCCAAGACATTTTTTGCCTACCTCTACCCCTCCTCTTACCCCCCAAAAGCCAACCTCTCACACCTCCTGACTGAGGCATCTATGTTTCTCCTCTTAACATGCCCGAACCATCTCAGACTCGCCTCACGAATCTTTTCCTCCACAGGGGCCACTCTCACCTTGTCCAGAATAACTTCATTCCTAAATCTATCCAACATACTATGCTCACACATCCATCTCAACATCCTCATTGCAGCTACTTTCATCTGCTGGACATGGAAGTTCTTGACTGGCCAACACTCTGCCCCATACAACATAGCTGGTCTAGCCAATACCTTGTAGAACTCACCCTTAAGTCTCAACAGCACATATAACATTATTGTATCTTCAAACTAGTTTGAGATATAATTTGCTTTGTTTCTTCGGAAAAGGTCCAAATAGGTCCTTGTACTATACGAAATTGAGCACATTTTCCCTTCGCTAATACTTTAGCTCATGTATGCCCTTACCGTCACATAGTTGGTCCATATATGCCCTTTTTGAAACGGAATCCATCCAAACTAATTAGCTCTTTCGTTAATTATACTAAAGTATATTACTAATCATGCCCAACTATGCCTTATAAAAAGGACAAAGCGGTGATTGCAAATATAATCCGGTTTACAAGTCTAGAGTCGAATCCCACAAAGAACTAAGTCTTAGCTACAATTGTTCAATATCGCTAAGAAACACAATTCCAAAGCTACAACAAACTTATATTAACATAACAGGAAAATCATCCTCCAATAGGTTCCATCAAAATCCTAGATAACAAATTAGCTATTCATAATAGTATGCAAAACTATAATACTAGAATTCATAACCAATAATGAAAATAGGAAGAAAGAAGTGAAAAACTCGTAGAATAATTCTCTACCTTGCTCCTAGTGTGTTCTTGCCTCCTTAGGTCGAATCCCCTTTCTCCTTAGCCTCCTTAGGTCTAAGTTATGTCAAAAAGTCAGTCTCCCTTCTTTTTGGGCAAGTCAGGCTTCATATAGGTCAAGGTTAGTCGTCTTTGAAATTACAAAATTGGTCTTGGACTATTTTTCCTCGGAATCACGTGTGCGACCGCGGATTGACCGCGCATTTTGACCAGTGTTCTTCCTGACCTGCCCGGCCAGTGCGCGGCCGCGCATTGACCGCTCACCTGGAGGAGTTTCTGCCTTCGTTTTTTTCTTTCTTCTTTTTACGCGCGCTAACCTCTGATTGGCCTTCAATGCTCCATATTAACTCCAAAACACTCTTTAACGTCCTCATAGCCCGGAATTGCTCATGCAAAGCATAAACTTCTTAATTAGAGAAATTTATTATCATTTAACATTCAAATATCAATAAGTGTAGCTAAGTTAGAGTGTAAATGGTAGCTAAACTACATAATTATAGCCTACTATCAATTAGAAATATTATTTCCTTTTTATTAGTACCTTTTTTCTTTACCTTTCTCTTTTCTTTCTTTTTTTTTCTTTTTCTTTCTCCCTTATTCGTGTTCCTCCGTTGTTGATGCCTTCTCTATTTTCGTCACCAATTTTAGTTTACAAAACTCATGAATTCCTGCTAATTTTAATATCACTAACCCCATAGGTTCTTCTGACATGAAGGAGATGAAAATTGTCGGAGAAATGTTTTCGATGGTGCTAATTGGGTGAAGGTAGGATATGGTTATTCGGATCTTGAAGGTCTTGTTCCCTTCAGATTTGAAGCTCCACGGTGAAAAACACCTTCAAAATTTGAATTACCATATCCTACCTTCACCAAATTAACACCACCGAAATTTCTCCAACAATTTTATCTCCTTCTTTCCAGAAGAACCAGGTATGCTTTTGGTGGTGTAGGTTTGATTTTTAGGAATAAAATCACGCGAAATTTGTGAGGAAAATGGAGAAGGCATCAGCAATGGAGGAATCAGATATGGGAGAAAGAAAAAGGAATAAAAGAGAAGAAAAGAAAAAAGAAGAAAGAAAAGAGAAAGGTAAAGGAAAAAAAGTACAAATAAAAAGGAAATAGTGTTTGTAATATAATTTAATACAATTAAAGAAAGAGCTAATTAGTTTGGGTGGATTCCGTTTCGAAGAGGGCATATATGGACCAACTATGTGACTGCAAGGGCATATATGGACCAACTATGTGACGGTAAGGGCATATATAGGTTAAAGTATTAACAAAGGACACATGCGTTCAATTTCATATAGTACAAGGACATATTTGGACCTTTTCTGTTGTTTCTTTAATGATATGATATATGCAGCTGTAATGTCACTTTGGTTCTTCCTTTAAGCAAGTTGCTAATTATCATGGATTCACATTTCAAGATTATGTTACCTTAACTGTTTGAGATACACCACTTAGGCCAATGAGTGCAGTAGAATCTTCTGCATAGTTATGACCACCCAAGTCCAGAGGTCTTTCAAAAGACATAAAAGCCATCATTATGTTACCCTTTGTAATCCCAAACAATGCCTCTGTAATGACCCGACCGGTCGTTTTAAGCTCTAGCGCGCCGTTCAGCAGTTTGAGGCCATGAGCAGCTCCATTTCAGGTATTACAACTTGTACGCGTGGTCGGAATTGAATTTCGGGAAGTTCGGGGTTGATTCGGAAAGAGAACTCTCATTTCGGAAGCTTTAAGTTGAAAGAACCAACTAGGATTAGATTTCAGAGTAAACGACCTCGGAATCGGGATCTGAAGGTTCCAGTAGGTTCGTATGATGATTTCGGACTTGGGCGTATGCCCGGATCGGGTTTTGGGTGACCCGGGAGCGTTTTGGCGCCTATTGTGGAAGTTAGCATTTTGGAAGAAATTTCATAAGTTTGGGTTGAAGTGCATTTCAGTGTTATCGATGTCCGTTTGGGATTCCGAGACTGGGAGTAGCTCCGTATGGTGATTCTGGAGTTGGAAGCGCGATCCGAAGTGAATTCGGATGCCTGTGGAGCATTTCGGAGCCATTTGCCTAAAGATAGAAATTTGAAGGTTTTTGAGAAGTTTGACCAGAGGTAGACTTTTTGAAATCGGGGTCGGAATCTGATTCCGAAAGTTGGAGTAGGTCCGCAATGTCGAATATGACTTGTGTGTAAAATTTGAAGTCAATCGGACGTGATTTGATGGGTTTTAACATTGAAAGTAGAAGTTTGAAATTCTAAAGTTCATATAGCTTGGATTGGAGGTCGATTCGTGGTTTTAGCGTTGTTTGATATGATTTGAGGCCTCGAGCAAGTCCGTAATGTGCTTTGGGACTGGTTGGTATATTTGGTTGGGGTCCTGGGGGCCTCGGGTGGATTCCGGGTGGTTAACGGATCGAAAATAGAATTATTGGGAAGGATGAAGCTGCTGGTTGCTGTCATAACCGCACCTGTGGTTGCTAAACCGTAGGTCCGAGACCGCAGAAGCGGTCCATCTATCGCATAAGCGGCCCAAGGCCAGGCAGCTTAAGACCGTAGATGCAGCCCTATATCCGCAGAAGCGGAACCACAGAAGCGGTGGGCCGTCCGCAGAAGCGGCCCAGACCGCAGAAGCGGTCTTCTTTCCGCAGAAGCAGTGGTCGCAGGTGCGGCCCAGGACCGCACATGCGGAAATCGCAGAAGGCAGTGGCCTTCATTTATTCGGGCTCTAGGTCATTTTTGTTCATTTTCACTCATTTCTTGGGTGATTTTGGAGCTCTTGGAGGGGTGATTCCGCCTAGAATTTGTGAGGTAAGTTATTCCTAATTAATGTGAGTTTAATACATGAGTTTTGGGTAGATTAACACATAAAAAATTAGTGAAAATCATGGGAATAGAGTACAACCTAGGGTTTTGTTAAAAACAAGATTCAACAACGAAATTTGTTGTAGAATGAAGTAGAAATTATATATTCTTGATCCTTAGGTTATAAAGAACAACTTTCTTCAAAAAATTTCGGAATTCGGGAACGTGGGCCCGGGGTCGAATTTTAGGAAACTTGTGTTTAAGGTTGGGAAATTGCTTAAATAGTTAGAATGCGATCTTGCGAGCTTGTATTGACTAGTTCTTACCTCGTTTATTTAGTTTGGGATCGTTCGGCTCCAAATTGAGAGTTTGAGCTCGTTCTTGGTATTGGAAGTACGTTTTGGAGCAAGGTGAGTCTCCTTTCTAACCTTGTAAGAGGGAATTATCCCCATAAGTGAGTTAATTGGTTATGTGCTCCTATTTGCGGGGGCTACGTACGCACGAGGTGACGAGAGTCCGTGCGTAGCTACTATTATTCTTTAGTCCGGGTAGTTTAGGACCCAAAAGCATGCCTTCTTGTAATACTTTCAACCTTGTTGACAAACTTAAAATGCTTAAAACATATCGAACGTGTAAATGAATTTCTAAAAAAAAAAAAAGGCTAGATATCATTTCTTGATTTTTAAAAGAGGAACTTGCCTTTTCCTGAATATTTACTCCTTGATGAATTATTGAGTTGATTGTTTGAATTTGTTTATCTATTGTGGAACGGGTCGAACGCCTCGGTAGATTAAATAGATGCATCTATGGTTCGCGCCATTCGACCCTCTGGCAGTGCATATTTTAAATATTGTTGGATCGGGCCGTACGTCCTCGGCATGATTTGCGCATGCTTGTATTGCTTGCCTTGAGATTTATTGATATTGCTATCTGCTCTCCCGACTTGAGATAATGTTAATTAATGGATTATGAATCCGGAGACTTTAAATAAAAAGGAACTTTCACCTGTTTAGTGACTCATTTGAAACTACTGTTGTTCCAAATAAATCCGTGAGTCATCGCATTAATAATATTATTACTGGACCTTTAGTAGGTGTCGAAGTTGCCATCTCGTCTCTAGTTCTTCGAGATTAGGCGGGATACTTATTGAGTACACGTTGTTTTCGTACTCATACTACACTTTCTGTGCATTTTTGTTGCACAGGTTTATGTGCGACTAGTGGCTTAGTGGCATAGCGGCATGGTTGATACGGAGACTTAGGTGAGCTGCACTTATCGAGACGACCCGCAGCCAGCAGAGTCTCCTTTAGAGTATTGTACTGTATTTTCATTTCAGTCCACTTTGTATACTGGACAGTTACTGTATTTTATTTCATTCCCTAGTAAATGCTCATGCACTTGTGACACCGGGTTCTGGGATATCTATGGGTTTATTCAGAAATTTAAAATTCTTAAATGTTTCATTATTTATTCAGTGGAATTTATTATGTATTGTTTAAACGTATAAAAGAAGTGGTTTGAGAAATATTTAAAAGGAGAAGTTACTAGTTATTTGTTGTTGGCTTGCCTGAAAATGGTGTCCGGCGCCATCACGACCCTTAGTGGATTTTGGGTCATGACAACATGGTATCAGAGCACTAGGTTCCCGTAGGTCTCAC